GTGGAGCCCAAACACGCATCGTGGTACGATCCAACGACGAAGAAGCATGGGCGGACTGGGTTCTTTCTGGCTTCAAATAATACAAGACTAGAGTGAAGAAGTCTGAGGAATTTAAACTCTATCTTCCGTAATCCTTGATATTCCTGGACAAGCAAGATCAGAACCGATGGCTCGGCGGATACAGTATCAGTATACCGGATTAGCTGACATTCCCAGCCGTCGATATATCGTCATAAGGGGTCATGATACCTTCCGTCACACAAATGCAAGGGCGTGATTAAGAGAGTCCAATCCGGTAGTGGGTAGTATTACTATAAGAGAAAGACTAGTAGACTGACAAGACCGTACCTATCTCCTTATCGCTCCGGAATGTAAGACTCAAGGCCAGACTCGTGCCAGACTTGTCGACCATCCTTGAAAAGTTCCGAGCCTGACGACGAAGAAGCCATACTGAGACCATCATTCCAATTTCTCAAGCACGGTCCTGCGGCCATAAGCTCAACCAGGAAGTGTATTCGCTGACTGCTCTGCCCGGGGATGGAGGCAACTTCGCCGCTGATCACAACCTTCCGTCGTCGCTTGTCCGCATTTTGCTCAAGGGCCTTGCGACGAAACTTTGTCTTCGACCGCCCTGCAGCGTGCAATGTCCTTGCTTTGATCAATCCATTTTATTCCACCGTCCTTGAAAATGCATGTTATCAGAAAGCCGTAAGCCCTCCCAGTTTGAACCTCGTTATATATCGTACCGTCACTCACAATACTCCGCAAAAGTTTGACATTCGCACGGAACCTCCATGTTCATGCCTTAGCCTATCGTTCCAGATTCTGAACTGTGTTCCATTCTCTTTGCTGATGGAAGGTCCGCAGGGCAGTCGGTAGGGAGAAATTCGAGAGATCAAAGAGCCCTGATTCAGTGTACACAGGAGTCCAAATTACAGACAACTTCGCTCACGGTATGTACAATACACATCCGAACGCATTGGACTCGGTCAATGAAGCACTTGCAGGGCCTCCTCGCTATTCTTTTCGGAACGTCCTAGCTTTCGCCTTTGCTTTCTGACCTTTGACATGAGATGCACATTTCGCTGACTAAGCTTCGTTTGTCATATACACTTACGCACTACTCCTTACCTATATTTCTCTTCCCATCGGCCTCAACCTAATCCGACGCCCATGCCGTAGACAGAGTTGATATAAGAACCCATAAACTTAAGTACAAGGTCTCAAACAAAGCTTCTTCCTAAACGGATAATCCACACTCGTCCTCACCGAGTCGGTCGAGGCACACTCTCAAGCCGTCCCTCAGTCCCTCATCGTCGGTTGCCTTGTCAAACTTCGGCTGAGTTACGTCTCGGTCTTGCTCCCATACCTTTAGGGCGTGCGACCATGCCCTCACCGTCTTGCGAATCTTGAGCGTGAAACCGGGTTCGACCTGTGTTTCATTCTCGGGCTCGTTTTCTTTCCAGAAAGGTTGGCCGATGCCTTGATCGATACCTTGGTCGATGCCTCGGTCGATACTAGGCAACCGATCAGTCAAATGTCGCACACCATCCTCATTTCTTACAGAGATCGATAACTCTTCTTGTGAGGGATTGCCGAGGAAAAATCGAGCTGCAGACACATCTCGCAGCCGCAGCCGGTACGCTCAGTCCACTAGTTGTGTAGGTTTATGGCCGACGCATCGGTTAGCGAACATGTTGATGATTTCAGTGGTGAAGACGTATACTTTGTTCTGCAGATTCGTTGGTATTGGGGTCGTGCTTTGCTCAATAGCCATCGTGTATAGCTTCCCGGTGAATAGTATGAAGAACTTCGTTATGACCATTATAGCTGGCTCTCCAGTCGCAGCTAGCTCTTGGAGCTTGTCACAGAAGCGGTGAACCTCGAGTCTAATATCTAGGCTGATGCACTGCTGGCCAAGTGTTATCATGTCATCCGGCTCGAGATGGGCGGGAGGCATGTAATGTGAGCTGTCAATGCTTATCCGTTTCTCTTCATGGCGTGCCAGAGTGATGCCCGGGATGAAGTCCTTCGGACCGGCACGAAATATCAGAGTTGGATCCACACTGGTAGTATGGGTTTCCAAACGGCCGCTGGAGCGATCAAAGATATCGCCGTACCTGGTACGTCGATGTCAAGAGATAGTATTTTTATGGATGAATTAACCATCGTTCCTTTCAAGCGTCGCTACTGGCGGTACTGCCTCGGCTGTTGTAGCCACCTGGTCCTATTTCGAGGCTGGATGGGGTCGCGTAAGTTGGGAGGATGAAACTTCCAGAATATGTTATTTCGTCGAAAGTGAGTTCTGCCACGAGTTTGGCGATTGTCTGGTCGGCCCCAGCACAAGACGTTCGTCAAATACAGACCACATCTCGAGAGCTGTTCATTCCCTCGCCTCAGAAGGTGCCAATTTTAAGCGACAGTAGCGTAGGAATGTAGCTCGAAATACAAGACAATCCTAAAACATTTGCTATTCTGCCCAGTCTTCTCTCTGAAGAAGTTCCAGTTCTTCAATCTGAGGATCCTGTTGACCATGTCCTCTACTTCTCAAAAGCTCATTACCATTCCCCAGGGTATTCCTGTTAGCCCATCTCAACCCTGGTCATTCATCCACCTGAAATTCGTCTCATTCCGGTGGCGGAACCTCTCCTGATGTTCCTGGACCCAGATTTGACACTCAAATTGGGGTTGGTAGGGCCCCTAGCGGTGTCATTGAATAGCCAACGCAAATACCGGGCCTTCAGATGCTCAAGAAAGGAGGGGCTGATTGCGCCCTGGCAGGGACATTCAACACCAATAATCGGGTCAGCCTTCAGGTAGTCGTCCCATACCTTTCGTGCCGCACGAACCCACCCTCGGCCGTTCTTTCTCTTCATTTAGAGGAGATCTTCTACCGAGACCCATGCACGGATTGCATCCCTCGCCCCGGCATTCTGCAACGCCACGTCGAGAGAATCCAGGAAGAAGAAAAAGCAGTTTCGCTGCTCGTTGGCTTCCACCTCGGCTTGCATGTTGTATCGGAGGTATTGTGCAAACGGCCATACTGACCTCTGAGTGGTACAATCGATCGAGACCAGGAACCCACCGGCAACGGTGAAGATAGCATGCAAACATCCCGCCGGTAAGTAGACCGCCTCCGCCGAAGGGGTGTGCGCCACCACACCCCCATCCAAGACCGCCATCCCCTGTGCTAGTTTGGCTTGCTGACCCCTGTGCTCGGCCATCCACTGCAGGTTGTGAGGCGTCGGAGGATACATCACCCACACATTTTCGCATTCGTGTAAGGTAGTAGACATACCGTCTTTGCCATAGTCTGTTGCTTGGTCAGCATATGGGCCCTCGATCAATGACCAGTGGTCATACCTATATGCAAGTCGACGAACGAGAATTTTGGCGTCATATTGAACACCATGCGCTGTTCCAAGTGCGTTGTCACTCGCTGATGAAGTTGAGCACAGCCTCCGAACGTTCGGAATCGGATCAATGCAGGAGCCTCCATCCCAATAATGCAAATGGGATTGTCGTGATTCGGTCTCCCCATCTGACAGAACGCGAGCGCGGCATTGGTCGACTGTTCACCTTGTTCGTAGACCCGATGATCTTGTCTGTCAGTACTCTCTCGGCCTAGTACGGTCTCTTCATAACGCACTATTTGCTTTGATCTTTAACGTTTCGACCCAGAGCTGCTCAAACGTTGGCGGCATTTCCCGCCAGCATGCTGCTGCCGGTACAATCGTAGGTAGACACGTCGTGTGTGTCTTCCATAAAGTATGCAGATCTTCAGTGGCAGATATCAGCAGTTTCAATTTCGAGTAGTCCAAAGCAGGGTCCAGATGTATCAGAAACGCTGGCTCCTTGTGGAAGTAGTCAAGCCATGGTGAAACAGCAGGCTCTTCATGATGTGTAGGAGGCTCATATGGCGCCGACAGCTCTTCTTGAGCCCTTGTGGGGTTCTCTGTCCCGGGCGCTTGTCGATGTAACCGTCCGGTGCGTTTTGGATTGTCAGATATGTCAGCTTGAGCTAGCTGTTTGAGGTCATTCAAATACTGTGCGCTGAGAGATGATAACTCTGCGTGCTGGTCAATCTTACTCTGATCTCGCTTCAGGAGATCGGTCAGTTGTTGGCAGGCGTATTGTCCTCTCCTTAACAGGCGGTGATGCGTGAATGAGGCACTCAGGAGAATAAACGCTTGCGGGGAGATCGCCAAGGCCCTCTGCCAACATGCCTTCACGAAGTTTCGTGCGGCTCGCTGGCCTTTCAGATACTCGACCGCGGTCCGAATATTTCTGTGAGTCCGAACTGAGTGTCGACAGTTTCCAGAGCCTAGGTACCGTAATTGTGTGTGCAAAAGGACGTCATCTTGGTTTCTAGAGTTAACGGTGTTCAAGTTCAGTGCCGAACTATTGAGCAGCGACATGATCTTTGGTACGTTCATGTGTCGCCATAGGTGTGAGAGTGTGAGCGCGTGAGAGCTTGAGCGTGGAAGATCGATCGCACAGAAATGAGTCGATCCATCGCACGAGCGTGAGGTCGACCCGTCGCTTCCTTAGGTTGTGTAACAGCCTTGGTCGGGAGACGTTGTCGAAGGCTCCTGACACATCGAGCAGTAGAAGTGAAGCCACTTGTCCGTCCGCCCACTCCCGATGTATGCGCTGGAGGAGAAGATGGATGGCGTGGTCAGTCGATGCGAGCTTTCGCCCTCCAGTATGTCGGCTGGGAAGGAGATGGTACGTGTCCGCCAGATGCGTCAACCGACTCGCGATGATGGTCTCCAGCGCTTTCCCGAGTGTGTTGAGGAGAGCGATTGGCCGGTATGACTTGGGTTCGGTATAGTCATCCTTTCCGGGCTTGCGAAGAACTACCGTGATACTCTCCCTGAAGTGCACAGAGCAGTATCCTTGTTGAAGGCAGGCATTGAAGAGCTTATGAAGGCCCGGGAGGATGATATCCAGCGTCTGGTGAAGGATGCCATTCGGGATGTCGTCTGTGCCTGGGGCCTTGTTCGGGCGAGCTCGGCGCACCGCTCTCTCGATCTCCGACGGCGTGATATCTGGACATGTAATGGGTGGAGGGTATTCATATCGATTAATGTCCGACAGGTCGGCTCGCAGTGGCGGTGGAAAGAAAGACTGACGCAGAGTTTCTGCCTTCTCCTTCGCCTCGCGGGCCAACCCTCCCTCAGGCCTCTTGAGTGTGGGTGTACATGTCGGTGTGAGGGTATGTCTGTTCTTCGCCCATTTGACCAGTTTCCAAAGCCCGGATGGAGAGGCCGATGCTTCCTCTATTCTCTGACGGTGAGTCGTTCGCAGCGCCTTGTGAATATGTCGGCATTTCCGGTTTCGCGCCTCTCGATATGCTTCGTAGTCGTCCTCAAGCCTCGTTTGTTGCCATCTCCGACATAGCTGTTGGACCTCCCGGCACATGTCCTCGCACTCCAGGTTGAATCCTGATACCGAGCGTGGCGACGGGTTGGACCATGGTGTCGATACGTCGATGCCCGCTTGAAGAGCGGTGACCAAAGTGCGGACATATTCGTCGATGCCATGCTTGTCACTAAGATCCGCACCATCGGGCTCTGGGAGAAGTTGCTCCTTCACCACTTGTCGGAGCGTTGACTGGTTGGTCTTGGCCTACAGCCGTTTTCTGACTGGAGTGGCCGGTTGCCAGTCCCAAGCAACGGCGGTGGCAATGAGGAGGTGATCAGAGTCGCAATCTCGGCTAGTGTCAACCTGACAGTAGATCGTGCGAGACGCCACTTCCTCGGTCGTCAAGGTGAGATCGATAGTTGATTCTCCATCTCTCCACCTGTACGTCGCGATCCCCGGTACGGTGAGTAACCGTAGCTGAAAATCTTGGATGTTGGTGAGCAGAGGTTGGGAAGCGGCTATTTCATAATTAGTGTGGCGGTGTGTCGTCGATCACAAGGGATGGTGTAAGTTGAAGTCCCCGAGGACAATAATTTCCTGACCGATATGTCGCGTGGCGATAGTCTCCCTCAAGTTGAGGAGGGTGTTGGTTCCCACTTCGTTGTACACGTTGATTATAGAGAGGGAATGGCGTAGGACTGGGTGGGTGATCTCAAGAACGATGATATCTTTGCCGATAAACGATGCTGTCCAGGTACTGGGATCAATGCGCTTGTTGATGTAGAAGCAGACCCTCGTTCTCTTATCGTTGAGTTAGGTCAGCCGAAAATGTGCTTTCAGTGGATGGTAGGTCGTCGCCATGAATCGATTGCGCCAGGGCTCTTGAATCGCGATAATGTCATATTCGGAAATCCAGCGGTCCTGGAACAGACTCGCAAGGACGACATCTTTCGACTTCTGGACATTGTACTGTAAGATGCGTAGTGACTGATGTCTTGTCATCGATAGGGAGCTGCATTGGCACCGTTTGTGGCAGGTTCTCTTTGAGTGGCTCGGGCATGGTTGGCTGCAAC